TTCTGGGGGGTACAGGACTATTTATATGGGAGACGTTACAATAAGGAACTATTAAAATTGTTCGATTTGCATATCAAAATCCTTTATTGGAACAGAGCATGTTCTATATTCACCAAAAAACAAAGTTGTTATGTTTCTAGATACACAACAGACTCGAAACAATAGAAACTGTCCGATCCGAGCGACCTGCGTTCTTGAAAATCGAGTCTTATCGCCCTTGCGTTTCCGAGCAAAAAAACGATGAGGCCAAAAACGACCAATTTTCGCCCAATCTTCTATGAATTTTTCATAATTTAGCTAATTCAGTCCAGCGGTTAGATAGGGTATTTATTAGAGACGCCCGGAGAACCAAAATTTGGGACGTGAATCACTCCGGCGACTAAAAATCAGCGAAAATGGCCAAGGGGGTGAGGGACTGCATTTCAAAAACATATTTTATATATAGGGTATATAACCATTCATACCTTCATGAAATTTACTGTATTACAAGTATGAGACGGAGATTCTAAAAGCGACACAGACATGTGCTTTGTTTGATAAAAGTCACATGCAATGTGTGTGTAATACATCCTATTTTCAATAACACTTATATATACCTTGTGTGAAGTCAAAAGCTCCAGGTCCATCAGTGGTGCCAGCAGCAAAACTATAACCCAAAGACGGCTTGCAAGTTTTCACCTGAGAAGAATAAGTGATTGCTAGTGAATGCCTATTACAGTACCATTTTCAAATATTTCCCCATGAGGCAAAGTATGTTTAGGTGGCTAATTAGAATACGTATGCTTTCCCCATAAGGCAAGTATGCCATTTTGAATAATTAATGTTTTAATCCCATGTAGCAACGTATATGTTTAAATAGCCATTTTAAATAATTAATTTTTTAATCCCATATGACAAAGTGTATGTTTAAATATCCATTTTGAATAATTAATGATTTAATCCCATGTGGCAAAGTCTTGGTCTAAGTGGCCATTTTGAATAATTAATGATTTAACCAAAGTTGAGAAAGTTCAAAAATATGTTTTCCTATGAGAAAATGTAGGTTTAAGCAAACTTTTTTAAATAATTAATGTTTTTCTCATGAGGCAATATTTTTCATATGGGGCTAAGTTAACTCACCTTTGTAGAGCTATTCAGATATACTGTATAATCAGACATGTTTACATATTGATGTCGATATGCAACTTTACCTGACAGCTGTTTTGTTGCACTATGATACAAGTCCTAAAATATATTATACAAATATATAATATTAATATACAGGAAATATTTTATAGTTATTGCAAATGTTTGACCTTGATTTTCACACAGGCTCAATATACTACACGCCTACCATTGCATGGTGATCTAATCCAATATACTATGTTCCCAAAAATACAATGTAACCCAGTACACTACAGGTCCACAGTTTAATATATACCACAGTTCCATCATAACAGTGAAATCTAATATACTATGGTCTCAACAATACAAGGTAACCCAGTACACTACAGGTCCTTTGTTTAACTTTATTCTAGGCCAATATACTATGGTACATGTCAAAGAGTATAGTATAATGCAGGAAAATATACCGGTACTATTTGCACACCACAATTGTGAAATCTATGTCAATATACCACAGGCCCACCATAACAGTGAAATTTAGGTCAATATACCACAGGCCCACCATAACAGTGAAATTTAGGTCAATATACCACATGTCTACCATTACAGTGAAATCTATGTCAATATACCACATGTCT